GCTCTACTGCCGTTTCCGACAAAATTAAAGCTGTATAAAATAAAAATGCAGTATGAATTGCTGACAGCTATCCGTTTAAATGGGTAACGTTTCTGCTGTCCAAATTCAAAATATCTCTTTAAAATGTAGAAATTAGCAAAAATAATATACCTATGTAATATTAATTTTCATTTATTTTACAATGCAATTGTTTTACACTATGTGGCTATTACGGTCATAAGAATAACAATAATATAAAATTGTTATAATTATTATAATATTTTAATTTGTTTGGCTTCTAAAACACCAGTGCGAAAGTAATTTAGACTGAGACAGTATACCACAAATAAAACGAGGGTTGGGTCCCCTTTAAAGTTCAAGTACAAGTCGATTCTCTGATTTTTTTTTTTTTTTCTGACTTTTTTTTTTTTTTAAGAACATGGGTTGGAGCTCTTAATTTTGACATCTCAAAGTGCATTAGATAGAAGAGTGTAACTTTAAAATGTACAAGATTTTCATTTTTTCCCCCAAGTCTTCATTTGTCCTTTTTAATTTTTTTATTATCGCAATAAATATCTTATTGTAGACTTCATATCTAGATGTTATTGTATCGTGATATTTTGATATTGTTACATCCCTATAATATAGTTATCATTAGTTATTGGTCTTGGAGCGAAAGAGTGGTGCTTCAGGACAGGTTAGAGAAGCTCTGTGTTAATATATACACTTACCCCTAACATACTGTAGATCTGGGACAGGATCCTGGAGTTTCTTCAGACAGCATTATTCTCCTTGCTCTGAATTTGTGTTTGAGGAACTGGTACCATAACTGCAAATATAGAGGGTAAAAACAGATCAGATTAAAAGGAAAATCTGCAATTCTAAAAATGTATATAAACCAAAATGACAAACTTCTGATCTTCTGAGATATCTTACACTTGTAAGGTCTTTTCACATAATGTAAAGTCTGTAAAGCAACTTACATAGCCATTTCCTTCCAGATTCATAAGGAAAGGAATATTTCCCAAGAAGAAAACCTGCACATATTCTGCATTTGAAGGGTACCTGAAAGATAAAATTATATTTATAATTATATTGATATTAAATTATAACAGTTAGCCAAGATAAACCACATTGAATTCGTTTTTATTGTTCAAAAAGTACCATTACTTTAAACGAATATTAGTGAAGAAAGGGTGAACAAATTACAAATAAATTCACATACCTGACTTACATGTGTTTTATTCTTGGAGGATTTCTGACACTTCATCGGAGTCTGGTCTGAGGATTTCTGGGAAAGAGGGAATGACAAAACCAGCATGCAGTAAATTCAGCTTGAATCATAACTACCAATGTACCTATTACAATGGGGCTAAAGAAAATAAATAAAAAATGCTATTCACTGCACCTAAAATGTATAATTGCAGAAACAATATATACGTTGTATTGAACATTAATGGAGCAACAGATTTTGTGTATTTTGTTTAAAAATCGTATAAATGTATGAGGTCGTGGCAAGGGGTCCACACACGGGGTAAAAGGCACACAGTATTGATACAAATATTTCAGCTAAAATAATGTTTTTTTAAGTAATGTCTAAGTTAATACTTGTTCAAAACAATCACTTTAGCAAAGTTTGTACTATTTTCTGCTTATTTTGAAAAATAAAAGAATTCTTTTTGTTCAATAAATATACTGTCATTAAAATATGTTAATATAAAAAATATATTTTAAAATACAGAAACAAAAATAATTTTAATAAGTAAAGATTCTGAAAGTATTGAAGGAGATCCAATAATAATTTAATATATATTTACAGCAGTAACAACAAATGATATTTTATTATATGATATGATTAATATCATGTTTTTAAATATGATGGCTTCATTCTAAACATGGTGATTATCTCTAATATGGATACCCAACATAATATATGTACCATCTGAATCTAACTATGTCATGTCAAGAAATGGAAAAGTCAGCCATCTAATAATAAACATCTGCGCCTTTAGCCCCAACAGCAGGGGCGCTTTTTACCCCAAACACCATACTTTTACATATTCTTTCGTTATTTAAAAACTGTTGCTTTAATTATCTTAAACAAAACTGAAAAGCATAAAGAAGACCTTTGTCTCAAAATATATGCATTAATTTTAGCGATTTTCATTTGCTACTTAAATCTACAACATAAAAAAAAAAAATAGATCAAGTAAGCACAGAATCAACGATCGCGTCAAGGATCAGACAATTAGGGCCTGTTTACACCTGGTATTTCATGCGTTTTCGCTGTTCGGATATCTATCTGATTTGTTCAAACGTTTCCATTTACACTTGGCCACATAAATGTGTCGTCGCAAAATGGATTTAAATCCGATCACGTCAATGAAATCAAAAGATAAGCGCTGCATTTGATTAATTATCAACTCATTTCAAGATCAAAGACCGCAATAGGAGAGCGCGCGGCATCAGCACTGGAAAGATAAGTTTGTCTTACTACTTTTAATGAAGATGATTGTGTGTTGACCGTCTGCTACTCGTCCGCAGCGATGCTTGTTGTATTAGGGCAGTCATATCTGACTATAATGTCATATAGCCTATAACACGCTCTCACACGTTTATTATTTTAACATTTTGGGAGGAGTAAAATTTACATATGCGGTTTCAACAACCAGATGCATTTACACTGGTCCAGTTTTGTCTGGAATGCGGCCCAGACCACCTCCTGAAGCAAGGGCAGTGACTGTACCATCGAGCGTATTTTGCAGTATTAAACACGTATTTATACAGATTTCATCAGGCTCCGAAAATTCTTCAAAAAGAACACAAAGAATGGCCTTCTCAGCTGCCATAGTTGCAACTCTTGCGTCATCAGAACAGGGTGTTCAACGCATTACCGTTTCCGTTTAAAAAACGCTTTGCACCGTTTTTGTCGGGGCTGAACGCAGCCCTGGTCTTTTCACGATCGGATAGCTATCCGAACAGACAAAATACTTGATGTGACCATGTGTAAACAGCCCCTTATACCCCTGCATCTTGAAAAGCAGATGTTTTGGAAAGTGCTACCCACGTTTTTGTGCCATATATGTGGTTTAGATGGAAATAATATCAAATGCAACTTTAGCCCCGTTGTACCCTATTACTTAAAGTTGTACTTTACATTTCTTTTGTTGAAGACAAATGGCATTTTGATGGCATTCTGTTGGTACTGGTTCAAGAGTAACTACCTCTATCTCACTAAATTCGTTGAATCGGGTCCGTTTTGTTCTTGTTATCCCCATCCACCTTATATATATGCATGAAAGGAAGGACAGTTACTTTTCTAATATGAAAGTTGCACAAATTAAATGTAAATATTAAATGTATGTACAAATGAAAACACATACTTGTTTTGATTCGTGAAAGCGCTCTCCTCACTTCTACTGGCTTTATGATGTGAAGGACACTCATGGGTCACGACAGGGGCGTAGCCATCATTACAGAAGTGAGGGGGACAGAAATGTTATATATAAAAAAATAAAATTATATCACATCCTTCAGAAATCATTCTAATATACTGATTTACTGCTCAAGAATTTTTTTTAAAATTATTATTATATTATTATTAAGTTACGGTATTTAACTGTAAATTTAAGTTAAAACCGTAAAACCTAAAACGTTGCTACCGTATTTTTTACCACAGCTGCCGTTTTTTTACCATAAATTTTAGGATTTTTTTTTACAGTGTGTCTCGGCCCAGGGGCAGGCTATTTGAGGATACTACTACTAATCAGAGCAAGTTTCTTATTCTCCTCATAACTGAGAAATTTATTTTTGATGTAGCCGAACCAACGGGCAGCGTGAGTGCAAGCTGCAGTAGTCTGGAAAAGTTTGGATATTTGTTCTTCCGTAGCCTACTTCATTTTTAAGTTTCTCAAGAGTGATCGGCGATGTGATCGCACATTTCACAAGATCCATTTCAGCTGTCACAAGCTGAGGGTGAAGCTTAAGGCATACATGCTTAGTAGAGGACTGGTGCCGATTTTTTCACACCTGAATACTGCGTCACACGCCACACTCGATGCCAACGCTTCATGTGAAAATTGTCTGTCCAAGTCAGCCAGCGGTGACTCAGTCCACCACATTTTTATTGGCAGGTTTATTAAAAAATACAACGAATTTCCATTATTCATTTAACTTGCTAAAGCGGGAAAATAATGAAAAGAGAGTCCTCTCTTGTAGCCTATCGCGACAATTTAAGAATCATGATGAGTCGCGGCTCCCGAGGATGGGGCTTAAATATCATAGAAGTTAATTTAGCCCAAAACGTATTTATTCAATCCACTAAAATAATAAGATAATACAAATAAAATGAGAAAATATAAATTATTTAATTTTTATATTTTATGTATAGCTCAGACAAAATCATAATTGGCTCTCGTCCCCCCCAGCCCACCCTAAACTCCGCCTATGCGTGAGCACGTTTAATAAGATTTTTTTTGTTTGTTTTTTTGTACTCACACACATTCTAAATTGCATTCGTAAGACGGAATATAGAACCTTTTCTAGCACTGTTGATACATGAGGGCCCAGGTCAGCTCCCGCAAACAAGTAAATATGTGTTTAAAACCTGTGCCTGCTAAGTCGAAGCAGATAAGGACAGATGACGATATACTGCCCACAGAAATACTACTTATTGGTGGTAAGTTTATACTATCTATTTGTTCAATTAACCTTGAGCTCACTCCTGGGTTTTTCCTAGGTGGATAGTGCTGGTGTGCATTTGCAAATGTTAGCTAACATAACCATTTTATAACGAATATAAAAAAAGATATGAAACGTAACAGACCGAAATATGCAATGAAATTACCATTTTAGTAACAATATAGCATCAAAAAATATATCTTGAGTCGCTAATCCCACTCCTACCTTTAAACCTAACCATTTCTTACAGTAGGCTATAAATTAAAATATGACAGACAGATAAGTGCAATCACAGTAATTTATTGCAAAAATGTCTAAAACAGTACCAAAAGTAACCCAAATGACGGTGTTGCAGTTGCAGTCCTCTCTGACAGAATACATTAGTTTTGTATGAGGAACAGAGCAGAATTTAATTTGTTAATCGCTGAAAAATATTATCCAGATTATTTTCCCGATCCACTTCGTGAAGGCTCGCATTTCTTATTCAAACACACCGCACCATAAATACGGCATGCTGCAATCTGTGAAGTACAGGCGAGAGCCAATGAGCGTTCGATTTCACTGCGCAAAACATGTCGTAAAGCTTCTTGAAACAGCAATTGTAGAATTTAAAATATATTGTCTAGCTTATTCTGTGATAACAATGGAAAATAGTGTTTGTAGTATATAAACCAATCATACAATCGCCGTTAGAAAAATATAGGGTGAAAGATATTATAAAATACAAATTATTGGTTATTGTCCAGCAGTGTATTTGATTTCTTAGTCAATTAAAAATAAGAAATAAGATGCATATAATCCAAATTAAGTTTCTAAGTGCACAGTCGACATGTGTAAAACATTGCAAAGTGAACTGAAGTGGTAAAACAATATTTTCTATACACTCTTCTGTAACTGTTATTTCGATTACAGCACTATTAGATTTGCTCTATTTGATTGCTCCACTTGGCTCATAAAAGAGCCGTTGAGGAACAAACAGTGGACTTTATTTCTTCTTGGGAGCTGCCTTTTTAGGCTTAGTGGCTTTGGGTTTGGCAGTCTTGGCCTTTTTGGGGCTCTTGGTTGCTTTCTTAGCGGCTGCTGTGGCGGGTTTCTTGGCTTTCTTGGCCGATTTCTTATTGACGGGCTTCTTTGCAGCTAATAAATAAAACACATTTTGATGAATGATCTTGGTCAATTTTGCATTTTATAAACAATATATTCATCTATACATTTTTTTGTTTTGTTTTTAATTCTATACTATGAATATTAGCACTGGGCAAAGATTAATCGCGATGAATTGCATCCAAAATTGTTTTTTATTTTATATATATATATATATATATATATATATATATATATGTATATATACTCACACATACAGTATATATTTTGAAAATATGTATATATTAAAATTCATATAATTTATATTATATATATAAATATATGTAATATATAAACATACCATTTTTCTTAAATATATACATGCATGTGAGTGTATTTATAAATGCATAATAAATATACACAGTACACACACATATATTATGATTTAAAAAAAATAATAAATTTGGATGCGATTAATCGCGATTAATCTTTGCCCAGCACTAAAAACAAAAATAATTTACCTAGCTTCTCCTGCAGCTCTTTTGCAGGATTCATCATCTTCATCTTTTTCAAAATACGCAGAGTGAGATTCCCAGCACCATCAGGATGATAACGTTGAATCATACATTCAACAATAGCCCACCTTGATATATTCTCCAACTGACTTCTGGGAATTGCGTTGCTTTTGACTTTAGTTAAATGATATTTAAATGAATCCACTTCCTTAGAATCCAGTTGTTCCAAATACTGTAGAAGGATTTCATGCACAGCCATGCTGGATTACTGTTAATGTAAATATGAAAATATAACATATAAAACATGTGCACACACACAAACACACACACATAGATATATATATACTGAGCCAGTGTGATTAGTCTTTGTACTCCGCGTTGGTGTGTGTATATATATAAATATCGGGGCACAAACTAACGCAAGGTTGTAACACACGTAGTTTAAATATTTCCACACATGCTGGCATAACAAAATGTATGATATTTACTAGTTGCCACATCAACACTATAGAGAAAAAATGCGCCGAAATTTAAAAAATCTTTTGAAGATATCGCTGAACATGTATTTTACCATAGCAGAAGTACATTTCTGACTGAATCTCAGTTTTTGGTATTCATTTACAATGAGAAAAATCTGTTATTATTTTAATCTCCAATCGTGTTATTTATCAGTTTAAATAATATTTTGTTTCTGCCATCATTTCCGGTGAAGGAGCACGACAACAAGATACACCCTCAAAACGACATATAGGCTACATTTATGCAATATAATTTTTTTCTTAAATTAAATGTCACTGTTATTATTATTATTATTAATAAAAAAAAAAAGATTTTGATTAATGAATGAATGAATTAATTAGCAGGGCCAGATTTTGCGCTTTGCAAATGTCCCTTCGTACTTTTTTCTCAGACCCCTGCTCATAAAGATCAATGTATTTTGTCCAGTGCGGAGGAAGTCTAGTTTTGAGGAGAATTATGTTGTAGCTCATTGTCTACGTTACTAAGATTGAAAAGAGGTGTTATTTGTATAGAAACATCTTTGTGCTCAGGAGTTATTGATCCGGGAAATTCGCATCTGTGAACATTGCTAACTTTACTGAACTGTCGCAGCTCCGCTCACAGCGTTATTCCGAGAGTTTGCGTGGAGCGATCACTTCACTCGACGGTATAATCACGGTTTAACTAAACAAATCAGCTCCAGACCTGACTTTGAGCTCTAATTAAGGCTTATTTTCCCTTCTCTATAAAACGACACACACTTACCTTTGTGGATGATCTTAAAGACGTGTGGGAAAGCTACTTAAAAATATCCCTGTAAAGTGCAGCGAACTTGTATCACAAATGAAAGTAAAACTGATTTCTCCACCTTTTTCAGTGCGATTGCGTCATGTTTCCTTCTTCCTTTCTCTGTGAGTGTGAGATACAATCTCCATACTGTAGAATACCTTTTCTTACTTAACAAGTAGCAAGACTTACTGCAGGGCGAATAAGTAGGCTAATAATTTTATTTAAATTTAAGCATTAAATTACATTTTTCATCATCCATTTACACGATTCAAACACAACTTTACTGGATGATTCCGAAAAGTTACCATGGTATTTTTTATTGGTTCAGACAACTGTGATGCTGCATTCTCTTCTAAAATGTTTAATTGTTTTATCTGATTCCATGTGATTATGTGTTTAAATTATGCAAGAATGTTCCCAGTTTTTTCTTGTAATTAGGAGCGCTTGTCCTCCTAATTAAAAAACAATTTAGGAGCACCTTCTGATCAATAATCAAAAATTCTGATCAAAAATTATAGCCTTCCTAATATGAGGTGACATTTGACTCAAAGTGATTTACAGGGGCATTTTCTTTTTACCTTTGTAATGGCATTTTTCTAATTGTATTAAATGTATGCAGTGTTTCCTAGGATTTTTTCCAGCTGTGGTGGCAGGACTATTTCTCATGGACCACGCCCCCTCCCCACCAAAGAATCACATGCACTCACGGACCACGCCCCCTCCTCACCCAAGAATCACGTGCACTCAGAATTAAATTTATTTTAACGAAAAAAAGACAAGTAAATAGTAAATAATAAAGTAAGAACAAATAAATTAATGACAATCAATAGCACAAACAAAAACAACAACAAGATACAAATTAAATTAACAGTACTTTATTTTTTTTCAGTTAGGTCTAACTATAATCTATTCAACTGTAAGTAGTCTTCACTGTATAATGAAATACAGCAGGAGGTTTATTTAGGCTGCTGTCTCTTTAAGACCTCATGCAGGATCTAATATACTGTTACACATGGATGGTTCTATGCTTACTTTTCTTTTTAGGAGCTCTTGTCCTCCTAATTAAAAATAAAAATTTTCCTGAGGTACTTACACTTGAAAAGAGCCGCGTCGCCGCCTTCCGCCATTTTCGAATATGACGCCTCCTCTCCCGTGGCCTCATGGGATAGTAAAGTGTCCATCGTATGCATGCTACGGAATTCGGGCGGAAGTAGTAGGTCATCCGGGTACTTCTCGCCTACTGTTTTTCGAATACTATGAATTCGGACATACTACTCGCCTCGCATACTGTTTTTCGCCTGCTATATAGTATGGAAGTATGCGATTTCGGACGCAGCGACTGTCTTTATGATTGGGTAATCATGAATCACTGACTCACTAGATTCATTGCCTTTTGTCAAGGCAATTTTAATTTTAATTTTTTGAATTAAACGCCATTTTGTGAAGGCCTGCCCAATCTAACTATTAGTAAAATGAATGAATAATAATTTAGTCGTAAATACAATTATCCACATGATGATGACCTTTCACCTGAAGATCTCATCAGGGACGATCCCTCACGTTCAGACACCTTTAATGTAGCGCACTACCAGGATGCCTTCATAACGTCCGCGGCTGCCGGTAAGTGCAGTTCTCAGCGGAGCGGTGTGCTTGTATACTTATATTATTAAATTATTATTATTTTACAAGAACGGCGTGAAGAGAGCACGCACAGCTGTTGTGTATATTGCTGTGTGTAGCTTGTGGAAGGAAGGTTAGCTGCAGCAAAGGGCTACAATATTCTTGTTCAATATTTTCCTAAAGACAATGTTATGTTCGGTTTATAAAGGCTACTATGAGCACCTTTCCCCCATTTTTATCTCAGAATAATGCAGGCAATATATTTTATAGTTTCTATAGGCTACTGAATGATATGTCAATCAGTACTGCATTATTCATATAGTTTATTTATTACCTGGAGATAGTTTGAAAAACACACATAAACCGTATATTTTCACAATCGTGTGTTTATTGTCTTCATGTTTCTTCTGCTTGTTATTCAGCTCAGCTGCAGGATCCTGATGCTTTTGCTCATATTAGGGTTTCCTGCACGTCATGAGTTATTCCTTCTATGAGTCTGTTTTGGGCTTTCTGCTCGAGAGCGCCCTCCGGCTTCGAGGATGAATTAAACACCTTCTATGAGTCTGTTTTGGGCTTTCTGCTCGAGAGCGCCCTCCGGCTTCGAGGATGAATTAAACACACTGCATCCAGATATTCACTTCTCCTCATTTTGGATACGAATAAAACGTCAGGTCATGCACAGACTATCATACTGTGTCTTTGAAACCTCTACGTGAACACAGCTGCCCGAATAAAGTGCGGGGGACGAGATTACATTTCTTTCAAATTAAATATTAAAAATGCAGCTAGCGTTCTACACACAGCAATATAAACAAAGATGCCTGTTCTCTCTCGTTCCTGCTGTTTGACTGAGAAAAAAGTTTAAAGAGTGTCTTTATCTTTTGACTAAACTACTATTACTTTGAACTTTTATTACAGTATTTATTTTAAAAACGTAGAGTGCCTTAAAAATAATCACCACAACACTGTTAAAACAGGCTTATACTGATTTCTCATCATCCGATTTATAGGCTACTTATCAATCCTGTTTTTCTCATAATTTAAAAAAAAATGAATACATTCAGAACAGGATTATAATATAATTCCATTTTAAATAAGACAAATATTTTTTCTACAAAACTAAGTGAACCGAACATGTCAGCTCTCGGGCACCGTACCGTAAAGAATAAACGCATCTACACAGGAATTATCTTACAAGGAAACGCTGTTTAAAACATTGTGATAACGGTTGCTTACATTTGATGGCAGGCGAAGTCACAAAGCAAAAAAATAAGTTGTGTAAGAGCAGAGCGATGGGGTGGAGTGTAAAATAAATACATGCGTCACCCCAATAAAATTAGCTGTGGATGAAACGGATCAAACTGTATATTGACACGATAGCTTAAGTATTTACAACATTGTAGACTCTTTAAACGAGAAAGTGGGTGGCTCTTAAAAGAGCCTTTGTGTGTGTGAGCGCTGGAGCGGAGCTCTACTTGGAGCTGGTGTACTTGGTGACGGCCTTGGTGCCCTCAGACACGGCGTGTTTGGCCAGCTCCCCGGGCAGCAGCAGACGCACGGCGGTCTGGATCTCTCGGGAAGTGATGGTGGAGCGCTTGTTGTAGTGAGCGAGACGAGACGCTTCACCGGCGATGCGCTCGAAGATGTCGTTGACGAAAGAGTTCATGATGCCCATCGCCTTCGAAGAGATCCCGGTGCCAAGATGAACCTGCTTCAGCACTTTGTAGACGTAGATGGCGTAGCTCTCCTTCCTGGTCTTTCTGCGCTTCTTTCCTCCCTTCGCTGCGGTCTTAGTGACGGCCTTCTTGGAGCCCTTCTTAGCCGCGGACTTCGCTGGTTCAGGCATGATGCTGCTGCGGGATCAATATCTCACGAGACAATGATTAGAATGAGCGAGACAGAGGCATTTATTCACTAATCTATGCTAATTATCAAAGAGATGTGTACGCTTCTGATTGCGTGTTTTCACAGACTAAACCCATAAACCCGTCTGTGATTGGACAACTCGAAGTATCACGAGCGGAACGATAGCCAATCACAGGCGGTGAAATGATAGCCCCGCCCACCGCTCCATGTTTGAGCGATACCAGCCCACGTTTCCTTTCTTTCAATTCAAATTTTTTTTTAGTTATTTTCTGTTCAAGAAAAGAAATGCGTCTCAAATACCACACATGATCAATATCAAACAGTGTAATTTATAGAAACCCTTATAAATCCACTGATAACGTTTGGGGAAAGGAGAGCAGTACCGATTAGATTATTTTTGTTCTCCTCTGTTGTTCTGCTAATTTCACTTCTGCTCAAATTTAAGAACCATCGCTTTCTGATTGTGTTTTCTCTTTGTTTTATAAAACACTTTAATTCAAAGGAAGGCTAAACAAGCAAATGAAAACGTAAGAAAAAGAAAATGCTCTCATTGTGTGTTAGAGTTAGGGTTAGCAATATATAACACACAAACTCCAACTTTGAGTTTTATTGCCAGGTATGTTTACACACACAATAACTTTGTTTTAGGGATAGAAACTTACACAGCACAGAGAGAACGACAGAGAAAAGACAGAACATACTATAAATAAAAATAGGATAACATCAAAATTTTCGGCTTAAAGACATGAACATACTTATGCTTTCGGTGAAACACACCAGCATTAAACTTGACTTTTTCAAAGGAGGTTCATTCTCATGCCATTTTATTTTCAACTACAGTAGAAGTCTATACATTACTTCAACATTGACTCTTTAAGTGAGAGTGTGGGTGGCTCTTAAAAGAGCCGTTGGGTTTGTGGTTTAAAGGCGTTTATCCTCCAAAACCGTACAAGGTGCGTGTCCCTGTCGCTGATCTAAACCTGATCTAACAATGTCTCTCCTGTGTTTCATATTAAAATCCATGTTTTAAAACATTCTTTTAACAAAGAAGATTTATAAGATCATCTGCTTCATGTTTTCATGTATTAGGCACAGATCAAACCCCGCCGGCTGAGATGCTGCTGCAGTGTTTTTCTGAACTTGTGTAAGGTTTTCAATCAAACAATAATCTGAATAATCCTGCCTGAAGTATATATATATTTGAAGATTGAGCTAAGAACAGTCTAAACAGTCTACTTTAAATTGTTGCCCAAACCATACAAACAGCAGCAGAGGAATATGTTACTGCGCCGTAAGTCTGTGAACTGCTGCAACAGCAAAGAGACTTTTACAGAACCTTGCTCCAACAACAAGAAAGAAGTTTCAAACCTGTGTAGAAATTATAGTTGATCCTTCAAACAGGAGGATTGATGACCTGTCAAAGCAAGTCTATGATTTTAAGGTGAGTCTAGAAATGACTCAAAAAGAACCTGATGACCTTAAAATCTCATGTAAGATGTGGTCTTCGAACTGTAATAAAACCGGGACAGATCTGGACACACTCTGCAAAAGTTTGATCACAATTTCAGACAAAACAGAATAT